TAGTAAATTATTGTGCAAATTGGTAGTTTAACTTTTTGACTCTCTCTTACGATAAAATATGTTTAACATTGATTTTAGGTTGGAGGTAGTAGATTATTAGTGGATCTCACAGCTAGTGAGAAAGCGGTTCATTCAGAATTTTTCAATGGTACGACAAATACTAAATAATTCTATATAATGCAAACTTGACTAAACTAACTCTATTCTCTTTAAAATCCATAGAAAATCAATAAATTTCTTTTTTTAATTTGGATATTTTTCCGAAGAGCAGCTCAGAAAATTTCAATGATATACTAAATATCATTTAATTTTATAAGTATTTCTACATATGTCGTAGATTAAGAACATATTTTTTTTCATAAACAATAATCCAAGTTTATCAGAATATACGGTTAGTTTATTGAAATAATTGTTTCTTTTTTTTAGAGTTTGATGATCTTTACGACGACGATGACTTGGAGTAAAGCAGCATTCCTAGGAAGTTCAGCTACACAACGCTTTTGTACAGTACCGTGATTAAACTTAATGTTAAAGCAGAAAGTTCTTGTCCTCGCCAAATCCATAAACGTAAACATGATTATAATATGTAAAGAATCAACAGACATCGTTTCCAGTTGCGTTCAGCAGAAAATATGATAGTTATAAATTACATAATTCACTTAGCATTGTATAGCTGACAAAATAATAAATGTTCTTTCTTTGTCTTAATTTCTTTTGAAGTTATATTCGCTTGTGTTGCCTAGCTCGCTATTTCTTTTTCGGCATAATGCTCTACCAGAGTTGATACAATTGTACTATCGCTTTTACATATACCGAGAATACACAATTATTGGCAACATTGACACAGCACATCTTCAATATACCGAAAGAAAAATCGGAGCTCTCAAGATATAAAATCAATCTTCAAGATTATCATCACATATCTTCAAGATTTGTGTATTCTTTCTTTCTTTCTTTCTTTCTCTCTCTCTGTTGAACGCAGCCGTTAAATGTATTCTATATTTATACATAGTAGATGTGAAAAAATTTTAATTTTTTAAGTTTGCTGTAAAAAAACTACCGCAAACTCTTACAATTTGGTACATATTCTTTTCTTTCTCAAAAGACTAACCACAAACTACAAACTTCATACTGTAACATTATTACAATTTACTTGTATTTTTAATTCGAGTCAAATGTGCGCCTGCATCTATCATACGTCATTTTACTGCGTACCACAGACAAGTGTTATTATAAACGTGCCATAAGAAAATGAGTACTGGTCAATATATTTCGTACACATAATAATATTATGATACTGTAAGATTATAATTTATAATACATAGACGCTAGAGTCATATAAACTTGTATGATGATGCACAACTAAAATATAGCACCCCATTTCAGTCATTCTGCATTTATTTATTCCGGTCATTCCGCGCGCGTGCATTCAACTATTTTATTAGTTGATACGAAAAAAGGGCCACTTTGATTTGCCAATACAATTAGTCCAATTAATTGCTACGTTTTCTCCTTAGCCCCAATCAACATTTTCCTTCGACCTATACTTTCTCATTTACTTCAACAGTATTTGCACATTCCACTCACTTTATCTATCAACTCTTATCCTTGTTCGACATATAGTTAAAAACTGGCGATCGGGGTGAAGACGATATTGGCAACATGACGATATTATTAATCCTGGCATATCGCTGTGATGATAGTGGCGAATATCCTAAAATTCAAAAACAAAATCTCTTTAATTCTGCAATTTAATATTGCAAACATCATATTCTAAATGTGTTTATTCTTAAAAATGTATTCACATGTTATTAATACATCAGAGGTAATAATTGCCGCGAACGGATAAATATTATCGGACAATATTGTCCGATATGCATGAGGCACACAACATCTGGGGCTCTATTCTTGAAACATATCGCATACGAAAATCCTATATAATATAGGTCATATAAATTGTAAGATTTTTGTATACCATGTTTCAAGAATAAAGCCTCTGTACGCATACATATAAAAGATATAAGCATAATAAATGAAAACGGAATAAACATACAAACCCTGAGTCTAGCTTTTGAAAAGTTAATCGGGGTGCTAGTTAACTTCAAGATCGCTATCAGCCTGATCGTCCTGGTCACTTTCCTCCTCGTCGTCCTCTTCCTCCGAATAATATTGAGATGGTGGCGATAAAGGATCTTCCGATAATGAAGTATGTGACGACGATGGTGGCCGAGAACCTTCCAATTTCATGTCTAAATCCTCCATCGACGTACTTGGACCGGGAATAGTTACTGGAATAAACTTTTCTAAATCCCCTGATGCTAATTCTACAACAAATAATGCTCTCAGAAAGTGGACGAGTGGACTGATATACAAGTGCAGATAGTGTGTGTGTGTGTGTGTGTGTGTGTAGTAAAGAGATATAGTAACACACACGTACGTTCTACATTATTTTTACAAGTGACTTCGGAACCATTATTTCGTCTTTTTGTTAAATTTTCTTCAGTGCACTTCCCCTTTTTCTAGTCCTAAAAGTATATATTTTTATATTTTACAATATGGAAACTTATAGTGTACATATTAACAATGTAAAAAAATGAAATAATATTATAATTGTGAAAGTAGAAAAAGTAGGATTAATATTTTTACCGAAAGCGAGACCCATCTGCTTTAGAACTTCGATATCGTCATGAATTTCAAACTTATCATTAAAATTAAACAGGTACTCGGTTCTGTAACGAAAAATAATATCTAATTAATACTCCTTCCTTAATTTATTTATACTATTTGTCGATAACTTTTTTTTTCCTTTTATTTCGCGCGATTTGATATGACGATGACATACTTGTCATTTGAAATGCTGCAATCTATGACAGTCTTTTTACTGGTATTCACAATGAGGAATGGCAGCTGTATGGCAGAATTAGGTTTCGGTGGCCCGCGGGCATTCTCGTTTAAACGATTACGTTCAACCAAATTCTTGAAAGAAATGTGAGAGAGAATTAGTTGATGCAATTGCTGCGTCTTAGCTTTGATTCTCTCAATCTTCTTCTTCTTATCTTTTTCTAATGCTACACATTCCTGTAATGAATTAGTGGGCAAGCCGAGCCACCTGATTTCCTTTTTCTCTTTAGAAATGATATTCATTGCCATCAATACATTTAGAGCGTCATATACTCGTCTTCTAATATTTTTCTGATCGTATTGCTGAAAAAGAATCAAGCATATGATAGAAATTTAATTAATAATCAAGTATGTATATTGAAATACAAATTTCTCAAAGCAAAAAATGTGTACCTTGTGCTGAAAAATAAATACCTGATCTGTCAGAGAATTGATATGAGCAGGATTAGTGAATTCGCCAACCAATTCGTCTGCTACTTCATTATAAGAAGTAGTACCTTTCTTCTTCACTTTTTCGCAAACTTTCATCGAGAAATGTCTCAACCCTTTCCCGACCTTTTCTGCTTTTCTCCGTTTACTAAAATACAAGGACAAGGTATAAATAAAAATCCATAGCTCAGTATAGTTAGATGTAGAGA